AAATATTGACTTGAAAGACTGTGATGGCCATCTATGACCTATTTTACTCATCAGTCACAGTTTGTCTCTCGTCAACAAATTGTTGTAGATGTAGCCAAGGCTGTCAGCGCTGCCTGTGTCGGTTAGGTTGGGCCCTGACAGAAACCCCGGGATCGGAATTTAGTTGCAGCTGGGCATCAGGTCAAACGCTTTATCAGCTGAACCACAGATTGAGGCCGAACCCATGTAAAGTGAAGTAGGAGTGACGTTTACTACTCTGCTCACATTGCAGGAAATGTGACCCAGAGCACTAGTGTGTGGTTGTATAGCGAATAGCGAATATCCGGTGCTCGGCACGTCTTCTTCCTTATCCATAGTAATTATTACTTGAGATATTTTATCAAAATATAAAGGCAGTTAGAGAGGGCAATTTTTGCCTGGCATTGGACGCTTCTATTGTTCTCGTCCATCCCTCCCCCCACCCCTCGGGAGTGGGTAAAAGGAACCGCCATTCAGGCACGTGGTTTTGTGTAACAGTTCACAGCTATTTGGCTTAGGTCTAGGGTTAGGACACGGCAATTTTTCAAATGAGTAATTGATTTTGGCAAATTTGAACACTTCATTGGACGCACTTAGGAAAAACTCGGCGGCCTCGGTAGGATTCGAAGGCTTTGGTACAGTCGACGCTCTGGCCAACTAAGCTATGAGGTCCCACCGGGAGCCGCCAGTTTAATCAAATTTGAGTTAAATTACCTGTCCAGCCTATTGCAACACATTGGATGCACCAATTCTAATACAGTAGGCTGACTTTCCATGTAGGATTTCCTAAGTAATCAATCTAAAATCAACGAGATGACTAACGGGTACACAACGTTAGTAGGGAGTTTCGACCGAGTTAAGTAATCCGTGAGAATCACGTTCGGGACCTCGTACCTCGGTTAGCTAGAGCGTTGGCTTTATTAAAGCCTTTCGCTTGATGGCGTGTGTTCGAATCCCACTGCTACTGTGGATTTTTTTTCATGACATGATCAAATGCAATATCTTAAATGTCCGGAACTCAGCCCAAGACCAACTGCATTAGAGAGGGGGGGACGAGCTTTCTTATTGTAGGGTCCCGTCGGGCAAGGAGGGGTCATATAAGCAATTCCAACCTTCGGCTTATTTTCCATCGTCTGATGTCTTAAATAACCTATTTGTGAAGGGCTGCTTCTGCAGTAACCTATTCTGGATTAACCCACTTATCGCAGGTCTTTTCGAGAAATTATGAATGATTACTTAATACCGATTAAAAAGTGCAAATAACCACTTGAATAAAATGTTGATCCTTAATGTTTCACAGTTATCTTGCATATTTTTGTGAATTTGTCAAATCAGACCAACTTTAATGTACCGTACTGTTTGCTTTCGCTACAGTATAAGTCTCAACAGCACGCAACGAAGCTGAACAAATACAACAGAAAATACTACCACTAGCAACCCGGCGTTTATCTTATTGCTAAGTCTGAGACTTCAAGGTTCACCCTTCGGAATACTGACGGACGCACTGAAAAGACTGCTACATTAACTGCGAAGAGGAAAGCTACTTTCCTAAGACTGCCGCTTTTAGGCGATGCAACAAGCGAACAGATAAGACGACGCCTGAAGACAGCAAACACGAGGCCTTCCCCGCGGCGAACCTACGCCTAGGTTTCACGCACTCTCCCCTCCTAGGTTTTGGAGGTAAAGAGCGACTCTCGTTGAAGGCCACATTGATGTATTTTTACACTTTTATCTGCTCCTGTGGCAATTCTCTGACCACAAGAGCAGTTAAAACATGTCTTAATTATTGTGCTTTACACTTGACGTTTACTTGCATTTTGTAAGTAGACAAAATGGAAACAAATTTAATATTGGCGGGTTTCTATGTATCTCGTTTACCGGACTGAGGTGAGCATTTCAAGGAAAGACGTTCTTTGGGCAATAAGGTAGCACTATTCAGTAAATGCTCGACGCTAGAGCCCCAGGTCATCATCAGATGTGCAACGAACAGGTAAAATGGCAAAAGTGCTGGTACACTTATATAGTTATCTGGTGTGAGCGCTAATTGGCAGCTGCAATTTGCGTCAGCTTGGGATGGAAAATTAATAGTCAACCGGTGTAGGCGCTAATTAACAGTTGCGGTTCTCGTTAGTCCGCAGTGATTGGCTGTGATCTCTTCCATCTTTCTTTAAGATTTTTGTACATGCTATCCAACTCGATATGTCGTCCGATGCATGAATCATCGGTATCCTTGGCCTTACGAAATTCTCGGCCTTTTTCGAGCATTGTTATTTTGCCTTGGAAACGAAGCAGTCGCATG